GCCGGCGCCCGTAGGCGGGAGGCGGAGGACCCGCTACAGTTGGCTCTGCTCTACTTCTGCCAGGGTGAGAGGGCGGCTCCCGACAGTCCTTCTAGGGGACACGGGTATTCAGGCGCATCTTCATGGGTCAGGTTTTTTTATATTGCAATAATTCTTAAAGCGGTCTTTTGTCAAAAGCCTTCAAAAAGCCGATCCCCGTTAGGAGCTGTTTTGCCTTTGAATTAATCCAGAGGTGGCCAAACCTGTCCTTACACCACAGTCCAGCAGGACTTATGAGACGCCCTTAAATACCTTTGTAAAGACCTTAAACACGCGGGTGTTGATCAGGTTTAGGTGAATTAAGTAGTGGCCAGCTGCGGTCACTGAGACTACTGGGTTATCGTGTTGTGTTTTCATGCCGGGTGATCTCTGAATTTGAATTGAACACGTTCCTGTTGCAGGTCTTGATTGTCACACCTGTAATGAGATGAACTGATGTCGGAGTCAACAGATGAAGGACGAATGTACTAAACATGATTGGAATCTTAAAATAAAATAATCCCGTTGTTAAGTCAGTCCATATCTAGGAAAGTGTCCTGAACGGTTGAGTGGAGAGATGCCCCAGTTACCCTGGGGGAAGAGAGTGTCAAAGGCGGACAAGTCGAAGTTGGAGAAAGTACCATGTCCAAGGCGCTGCTGGAATCTGACATTAGACTGGCAGAGAGGGGAAGAAAATAACAGACATAACAGAACCGAGCCCCCGTAGACACACTGGTCTCCCAGGACCAGGAATAGTGGTCCCAGTTCTATGGGGACCTGGTTAGCTTACTACTTCGGAATCACTGGATTCCGATGTCATTTATAGATGTCTAGTTAGGATATTTCAAATTGCTAAGAATGGAAGCCGTACCCACGGATTGGAGAAGGATCGAAAGGCAGCGTTGATTTAGAAAGGGAAAGTTTGAGCTTAACAGAATTCTTCAAAGGAGCGCAAAGGACAGTGGGCATCGCCAGAGCAAGCGGGGTGGTTTAGTTTTCCAGAAGGCTTCTGGTGATGAAATAGTCACCAAGAAGGTTGATTCTCAAATGTGTTGCGTGGATACGGATGAAGAACTGTTTAACAAGCAGGAAACAGTATGCAGGTGCAAGCAGTCCTGTTCTGCAGGGACTCTTGTACTTTCTGATCTACATCAAACCCTAAACCAGACTCTTGGCTTGCTCTGACAATACCTGACTGTACTGCTGTTCCCCAGCTTTTTTTGAGAACAGCATTCAGTTACAAGTGTGCTCCCTGATTATTTTTTTTGCTGTGTAATTGGCACAGATAATGATGGGTGGCGCTCGGTGGAGGGGCAGTTAGTGCTGTCCCCCCGCAGTTCCAGGGTCCCGGGTTCGACTGTGCCCCACAGCACCTCTCTCTTCACTTGGATTTCCAGCAGGTGCTTCAGTTTCCTCCCGCCTCCCATGGACATGCTGCCTTGTTTGGCTTGGCAGCTCTCAGTTGTCCTTTTCCTCTCCGTGGGCCTGCGATGACCTGGTGTCCCGTCTCGAGGGGAGGGGTGCTGTGGGGGTCCATCCTGCACCCTGAGCCTCCAGATCAGGGGGGCCGGAGCTCGCTCTGACCCCTGGCCTGCTCTGGGGCTTAACGGATAGCAGGAGGAATAAGGGGAGAAGGGCATTCTCCCTTTCCGCTTCTCTCGTTCGTCTGAATAAACGTGCTTATTAAAGGAGTTTTTCGTTTCAGTTGAAGCTGGCACCCCCTGGAAGGGGAATGACGTGCTGGAAAAGCACTTTGAAGCAGTCGAGCGCGTGGCCTTCAGCCGTGGGCTTTCCCCAGAGGGCATCGAAATACTGCTGGACTTTGCCCTCGGCCTCCGAATGGGTATGACTGAGTTTCTTGTGTGCGCACGCACGCCAGTGTCCCCAGTGAAAGCAACTTCCCTTTTCTTTTGGCTTTGACATTAATTGTAATCAAACAAGTCGCTGTACTGGAGATCATTTCAAGCACAAGAACATTTAATGTAACAACAGCTCATAAGGAAACCCCCCCAATTCTTTACCTTCATCCTTCTGGCCTGCTGCCTGTGTGTTTTTTGTGTTTGTTCCCTTCTCCTCTATTCAGTGAAGATACTACGAATGCTCAGTTATATACTGATGTGTGCCGTGCATTTTTGTTATTCCAGGCAGCAAATGTGGCATCCGTGTGCTGAAGTGTTTAATTCCAGCCTCAGTCATTCCAGAGAGCGCAGTGGTTAAAGGAGTATCCTGGTTCTGCGTGGGCAAGATGCCGCCGAACATGCAGGTAGACGGCGTTTGGCAGGCGCTGCGTGTGAAATATTGATTGGTTGATTTCTTCAAGTCCTTATAAAATGTTGCAGAATGTCTTGTCTATGTGATTCACCCATAAACCTGTTTCCCGCGTAATTAAGTTGTAATGTACAGGTATATCTGTAGAAGCTGAGGCCAAACAAAAGAAGAGGTGGAGTTGTTGAGGCTCAGGAGATGCCCGGGAGGCCGAGGGTTCAGATCCCAGTTCTCTGCACAGGGGCTTGATTGATGAGGGCTTTCCAGGGGAGCGTCGTACACGAGTGTATTCTGAGTTGTATTACGTGGCTTCATAAAGGAATAGATTAAAGGGCAACATGAGATGAGTTTGACTGTTTCATCTCATTGTTCCTCTTTACCTAAACCTCCAGCCATTGTCTTCCTGTCTTTTTCATTACTGCCTTGTTGCTCTTTCACACACCTGAGCAAGGCTGGGTGTACTTTTGTTATAATTGTCAGAGTGGGATTGACCTCTAGTAATTACTTTTTACTCCCTCCCAAATACAGATGTAGCTTCCCAACTCTAACCCTGGAATTTACTTGGTTCTGCAAGATATTCTGATGATGTTCACTTTAAATTAATGTTCTGTTCGTCCTGTTCTTGCTGTAGATCATGTTCATTCGCTGGTTTATCACCATGTTTGACCTTATTGAGTCGAAGGAGCGGCTGCATAGTCTCTATGGGTTTTTTTTCTGCTTCCTTTCGGATGAAAACCTGGTGAGTAAATGTCACATCTGCGATAGTGGCTGTGAGAGATGTACTGTATTCAGTGTTTGTCATCTCCTTAACCGTAAGGCAGGGCTCCCTGAGATAGTTCTCCACTTTCTGAGTGTCTTTGGGCTTTATTTAGTCTTTAAATAAGCTGGAAAACTGCCTACTTTTTTCATTTTCAACTCCTAGCAAGTTGGCACATTTTAAGTTACTTAAATATAGCGGTGACATTGCCTGAAATTTTTCTCTAAACTGATAAGTAACCTTTTCATCATCTTGTTTGCACATGGATTAAGAAGGTTTAGCGGAGTGGTTCGTAAACAAAAATGCTGTTGTGTTGCCTATAGTGAGAGTCTCCTTTGCTGCATGTGCTTGAGATTTGATGCTTTTAGGCGACACTGAGAACTGCTGAAGTGTCCGGACATGTTTGTAGGCATGAGGGTGATGCAAATGGTTAGTTCCACATAGGCTTCAAGTAACAGAGCTTGGGTAAAAATGAAAAAAAGAGATGGGAATCTTGAGGACAGGGTTAGGAGTACTGTGCTTGGGAACAACATAGTTCTCAGTAATTTCCTGGCAATTCTCAACTTTTTCTGGTGTTAATTTTTTCAGTTTCTTAGAGTGCCAATTTGTGATGATTATTAATGACCAGCTGGCTCTCTTCTGTTCCCATGGTTTAATTTGATTACTCTCTTCCCAGTGTCCTTACATCTGCCATTTGCTCTACCTGCTGACCAGAAGGGAGAGCGGTAAGAACTCAGCATGCTTTCCTTGTCCTTTGACTCTCTCTGCTCCTCCTGTACAATAGAGTACAGTTTAGCTAAATATGTGAGCGTTTCTGATCATGTTTTGATAAAACGTGAATCTTTTGTTTTCCAGTTAAACCCTACAGACTCAGAAAACTGATGAACCTTCAGTCTAAAATGGTAAGTATTTAAGCAAATGATTTTCTATGTTTTAATGCACCTGCTTTGTAATTATGACACAAAAAGCTGGTTTCACATATTCTGATTGGCATTAATCATGGATTCTGTCATGTTTATTTATCTAAGATGGTCTGGATTTAGGGCTAAACGAATGTGTGAAACCAGTCTTAAGTTGCTTAAAGCATAGTTTGTGGACCATGTTCAAGATGTTTTCTTGCAGTTCTGCAAGATAAGGAACAAGGTAGATTTGAGAACCATCATGTTCTAAATATATCTAGTGTGATATTTTCAGATGGTTTCTGTCTCCCATGATGAACACAGCTGTGGTCTTCTTGTGGATGTTAGACTTGTGTTGTCAGATGCTGATGTCTTCCTGGATAAGTGAGGAGAAATGAAAAAAGTAGCTCTTTGAGAGATTTCAGACTGTGAATTTTATTTTTCCTATTCACAATTTTTCAATTTTCTCTGTAGGGCGAGCAGCCATTCCTGATGGTTTTGCTTTCTTTGTACAAAGTTTTCTGTCCAGAAATGGTCTCTCTGACGATTCCAGCAAGAATTAAGGTATGTGCAGCACCTGCATTTATAAAAAAAATTAATTAATGAAATATTTGGATGAATGTTAATATATGGTACTTTTTTTTCCCCACTGTCCAGAATGGCTTTAAGAACTATGACTCCACATGGAAGAATGCACTGAGTGCAGTGCAGAAAAGGAACAAAGCAGAAATAGTCATGGAGCTGCAAGCAGCTGTCAGTGTGAGACCACAGTCAGCCTCTAGGAAAAGGGTATGGATGCGTTTCTCTCTGCTGCTCCAGTCAGCCTCAGTGATAGGGCTGCCCACGTGTGGTCCTTGAGGGCTGACATATTACTGGCTTTTTATCCAGTTTTAGGTATTAAATAATTAATTAAATTGACGAGACTTCGTTGCTCAAAACGATCATCATCATTTTCTTGAGTATCGCAAAATCTCTAAAAAAAAACAAACACAATAGTCTTGCAGTGGTTGGATTGACTCTGCCACATTCTTGCCAGCTGGCCCTGAATTTATTTTCGTTGTCTAGAACACCTTATTCTTGGATGTAAATCAGATCGAACTCTTGCAGTCTGGGTCTGCGGTTGGATGTGCTGCCGCAGTTCAGTTGAAAGAATCTTTTGCAGGTTCTTCCAGGCTGTGAAGGCGGCAGCTTTCACGTTCAGCTGCTCTTTTATGGTGTCAATGGGTGTTAAATGAATGTTGGATGGCGTCTCCAATGCTTTGCAAACCTGCTCCTCCTCTGTGCAGAAGCGGAACTGCCACCTCTCCGTGCCCCCGCTCGGCAGCTGTGCGCCTCCACCCGGCGCGAGAGAGGACGGCGTGCTGGGCAGCAGGGTATTCCCACTGGAGCAGCTCCGCACTTTCCCACAGCTGCTGCAGAACATCCACCTCCTGGAGGTACCGCTGCCCTGAGCCTCTGATTTTATTACCTTCTCCAGAGCTGCCAGAGCACGACGAACTCGGGCGCCTCTTATTATACCAACGCGGGTATATTCTTGGCCTATCTGGGGGTTGTGATTATCATTATACGTTATACGTTATCCTTCATGGTCTGTTTTTTTTTTTGCATTCTCTATTTTTTCACAACCCCTGTATTGTAACGCTCTTCATTTCCAAATGTTTACTAACCCTTGTTTCAGAGCTGGTCCTGGAATAGTCCTCTTAGAGGATTCTTGACAGGAGCTTTCAAGACTGAGTTACTGTTATCCATTACTGTGTCCCATTAAAATGACGCCTAATTACCACTTTACAGTTGGTTTCTGTCTAGGAGTTTGTATTGAGGGTGTTAATGGGTAGTGCGGATCAGTGTTTCAAGCAGCTTGTTAATTTACTGGCATAGCTTTCTTTACCACAAGGTGGGGCTCTGGCTATAGTAGAGGCTGATAACATGCATTAAGCACACAAGACAGTGTTTGTAATCAATGTTGGGGAAACAAGGAATCCTTAAAAATACACCAAAGTACCATATTCTTTTTTAAAACATCAACAAAAGAAGTGAATTTAACAATGACCTAATTTAGTGTAGAGTTATATTCTGAATCTGTTGCATCTAAAGCAGTTAAAGTTGGTTGAAAATAACAAGTCTTTAACGAAAGTATAGCCATACCGCATATTGTTCATTCATTTCCTTTGATGTGTAATTAGATTTTTATTTTTTTTAGCTTCCAGCACAGATGGGCTCAGTACTGAACTCTCCATTGGTTCTCCATTATATTAACTGTATAACGGATGACTCTGTGTTTCTAAGGCTGGATTACTGGCTGGGCCATGCACTTCACGAAGGTGAGATTATTTCCCTTGACTATGGAATTACTGCTGCTGTCACTTGTAATTTTTTTTCTGTTTTATACTGACCTCTTTTTTTATTGTTTTGAAGAATTTCTGTTTTGTAAGGATACTTCCTATGAGAATAACTCGGAGGCTATTGAATTCTTCAGTTCGCTCATCACAGCACAGCAGTTTCTTCAGGTGAGATACAGGTCACGTCCCCTCCACGACAAAAGAAAATCATCCTTTGTTTACACATGGACACATGGATGCACGCCAGCCTTCATGTGACAAGTGTAAAATATGATGCAAGACAGCATTGGTTATTACACGTCTTTTACAATGAGTCATACACGTTTGATTTCAGGAGGGTTTCTTGAGTACTGAGGTCTTCACCTTGAAATTCTTGCGTGTTTGGGATGGTTCCCTTTTCCGGTCCCAGATCCTCAGCTTGCTGAGCTACATCCCTGTGATTCCATGTTCAGGTCAGTCCTGTCTGTTATTGCTGTAAAGATGTAGATGATTATGCTGATTATATGGGTTTTGGTGTGGTTTTCTGGTAGAGTTTGTTTATGAATGTGCTCTACTCAGTCATTCAAATTATGCTTGATCCACAAATGACAAGAACTAGTGAAAAGACCAGCACTCAATTTTATTTCCTTTTAATTGTAAGCATGAACACGTTTCGACAGTCAGCATTCTTTAGCATGGAAATTAGTGTTGATTCAGTGATTTATATCCTGTTTATCCTATTTTGACTTTGATTTGCATGGATGATTTTGTTAGGAAGGTCAAGTGATTTGTAAGTTTATATGAGTAGAGAAATACCTTTGTTACAGTTGTACACTGAACTGCATTTGTGCTTACAATAAAAAGAAAAAAATTCTGCCCTCCTTTCCATCATCTTCTATAAATTATCACAGTTAATGTCTCTCGAGCTGGGAGATGCTTTAAATAAAACAAAATTCTAAGTTGTTAGAAAGGACCTGGAGCTCTCTAGCTCATTGCTTTATTAATTATGCATCCTTATTATTATCTTGTTTTACAGATGTGAAGCAGCTACTTTTTGAGCCTTTAATTCAGCTTTTCTTCAGCTGCTCTCTGTATTTTAAGGTATTTGTTTTTGTCATGTTTCATTTAATAGCTAAAGACTTCTGTGACTGTTGTAACCTAGGTTTTCTTCTGAAATAAGCACTTATTTAAAATGCCTACTGGCCTACTATTTTGAAAACCCATAAAAGAAATAGGATTGTTTTTCATGAATTTAATTGACAGCCATGGTTCTCATGTGGCCTAGTATTTTCGGCAGCTCTCTTAATGCATGTAGAATCCAGGCTGCTTTAAATTCATACACACTCCTCAACAAAATGTTTCTAGCTACATTTTAATTGATTAAATGAAACCATTAAGTACTTCAACCACTAGGCTGACAGTGCCTAAGCCACTGTGAAGGGATTTTCCCCTTTTTAATTGACTTTTTCTTTCTCGCACAGTGCAGCGTTATTGAGTGCTTGAACAGCATGCTGGTGAAGTGGCTGACCTGGCATGCAGTCTTCGCATCAGAGGATCAGTTCGACATGAGTATCTCTGGTCACTCCCCAACGTAAGGCCCTGTTTTACCGCCCTTTACTGCTTCTCTCTCCCTTGCGAGAAAACAATCCTAATTTTTAAGCATCTAAACAATCAATGGTCTTGGCGCCCAATTCTGTCCTGTCTAGTTGGTGCTTTGTTGTATGGCTCGTGAGAAACAAGGCAGAATGTAGAGTGAGAACAAAAGTAAATGTGCCCGGTTTAACCTTGAACTTCCAATACCCCTCTCACGGAAACCTGCTTCAGCTCATTACAGATGCCATAGTTTGTAAATTCATCTTTTATCTGAAAATAAGATACACCTAAATATTGCTTAACTGCTGAACAGGCAAAAAATATTTGTTGTTCAGTGCTGTTCGAACAATGCTGTGTGTTACAGGAATATGAGCCTTTCTGGAATAATGAGCTCGGTGGTGGAACTGGTTGAGTTTGTCGGTCGCATCTCCACCATAGCACTGCACATGGAAGGATACAACACCCTGCTTCTGCATTTCGTACTCAACTTCTATGAGACGGTAAATGCATTCACTGTGCCAAAGAATTGTGGTTTTCTAAGTGGCATTTTGATTTCAACTTTCTTATGCCTGCTGATTTTGTTTTTTTACTCATCCTTTTTGGATTTTGCCTGCTTTTAACTCATTTTACCACCATAACCCTAATACTATGTCTCTGACCTGCCATATCTGGACTTTCGGGTACTACTTGCTCTCCAAGAATGCAGATCTTGTGGCTTGCGAGCACATTGTATACTGATTTTAAATAAATGCCATGGAGATGTAAAGTTTTCTACCGTTGCTACATTATTTTTTCAGGTATTGGCTTTTTTTACCCTTCTGTGGTATTAGAACGTTTTCACTGCTTGAGTCTCTGCCGAGACAAATGTCCTCTGCTGTGTCTGTTCACTGTTTCTCCCTGACTCTTGTGGGCACAGGTGTGTGACATGTATGTGAAGTATGACTTCCCTCTGGCAATCATGCCTCCTGCTGGCGTCTTCTATCCTGCCCTTCTCAGCAAGGACCCTGTGAGTGTCAACCAGCTCTGCCACATCATGTTCAGGTGAGACTATGCTGTGGGGTTACTGGAGAATTGTGTTGAGACTCAGTCTATGCTTTGGCTCAGTTTAGTCATTTTATTTTAAGGTCAATGATTTTTTGTTACATTCTTAAGGTCTATGGCGAAAGATGGTTAACATTTGAATAGAAACACGTTTTAATAATAAGCACTTGTGTAACTTGTGGGCTTATTTTAGAGAAGATGAAGAGGTATCATTTGTTCACAATTGTTTGTTTTACAGATACAGAGTAAATCTGCTTTCTGCAAAGGATCCGGAAAAGCAGGGAAAGGTATTCTTCAAATCTGATTGTATTGTTAAATGATCTTTTAATTTACTGTCTTTGTTTTCCTCAACGGCTTTAGAATTTTGTTTCTCGTAGTCAATGATACACATGTGCCTATAAACACCTTTCATAAACAGTCTTGAAATAAGAGAATCTTTGTTGGTTTTCCCAGAAGACCTTTCTCGTCAACAGCAAGACGTACAGAAAGTACAACCAGTATGTAGTGGCAATGGTGTGGTGCCTGTGGAGCTCCAAGGCCTTCATGGCAGGGATGGAGATTGAGATAAACCCGGACTTGCTGGCTCAGGCCGGCGTGGCCGAGTACAGGTCCACCTTCAACATCGTCCACCATCCGGCGCTGACCGGCTACGCCATCGACTTCTTTCACAAGGTGACGATGCGCTCGTGTTCATGCGGGGGGGGTGCGATTGCTCTGGGTTTCAGTCTACAGCTGTGAAGGTACTCTTACCATGTGCATTGGGTTAAAAATAAGAAGGCTTGAGTGAGGGTGCGAGTTGTTTTAATGAAAGGGGTTTTGCGGTTTTCTGCTTGTGTAAAGACTAACCCCTTTTCCTGGCACGCCTCTGGGCCCTGTTCCTGGCATTCGTGTGTCGGCTGTGGTGACACAGGTGTGGATGCCTGCTGCTGCTCTGCACTCCTCAGTATGCAGGGGTGCAGTAGCTTCAACGTGCCAAGTGAAATTCCAGACACAAGGGTCTTCTAAACATGAGACATTGCAGTTCAGTCAAAATAAGGATGGATGTGTAGTATTAATCCTTTGACTTAATTGCTTTTTGTAATTTATCGCCATTAAATGGTGCTTCAAGTTTTCCGAATGCCAGTCTTATAAATCTCTTTTAGTCCAAGCATAGTATTTTGTATTTAGCTTCTTATAAATAAAAAAACTTTTTTTGATTTCAGTGTTGGCCGGAAAGTAAGCAGCTGAACCTTAGTGCCATTAAGGTATGTAGGACTTTCGCAATAACATTTTTTTAAATTAAAAGGTATTGATTGTTAAATGTTCTCAGCAAGTACGTGATCGCTTTGAACTTGACTTTTCGTGGCCCTCCTTATCAACATACAGAATAGCAACTTGTTTCAAAGGAGGGTCCTATTTGAGATAAGGAAAATGTTTGCAGTCGTGAGAATTGTTAATATTCACATTACGTATTAAACATGACAGGACCTTCAAATCATGCAACACATTAGTGGTGCTTTGGCATTATTAGCAAATCAAGTGTTATGTATCATGTTTCGATATGAGTCTCCATTTGACCATGTGTGCATCGAATCATCTGTGCATTGTGGAATCGAAGGTGCACACTCCAGATGCTTTCCTGTCTGTTGATAACCTCTTCCTGACTGTATTGCTCTTGGATCTACAGGGAAGACACTGGGATTGGTACTTGGAGTATCTCTTCACCCAGGGCTTCGATGGGCTCAGAGAGTTTATAGAGAGTAGCATCAGGCGTTTGTCTGGGCCTGCAGGCCTGAACTCCAGCCGGGCTAAGTGATCCGGGGATTCTGCTGCTCTGCCTGGGCTGTGGAGGACTGGGAGCCTTTATCACTCAAACGCCCTGCTGATTGGAGTTCCCAAACTTTCCTCTTTGGAGGCTGTCGGGTGGTTCTGTTGCATTCTTCTGGTCTCCGTTGGGATAAATTTTGTACATTTTCTCGAGGGCCAAGGAAGCGAGCCACATGTGGGATTACATGACATGCCAGCTTGTAAAATATTGGACAGCGTGGCTGCAGAGATGGCAGACTCTGACTCACTGTGTCTTCAAAATCTGGAATTGGGTATTCTTCTGACACTGCAGTGGCTGCGAATCCACAGCAGCCTTTACCAGCTCATGGATGTGACAGCTACCAAATGAAGAGCTCACTTTCAAACTCTGGCGCTTAAAGTAATTGTGCAATAGCTTTTGCAAGTATACCCAGCTAACAGTAGCTTCACTAATGAGCTAGCTGAATTAAATACTTTTAAAACGTAGGGTTCATTTTGACATTGAACTTGGGCTTTGGTTTCTCTAAAGGTATTTTGTTTGCTAACTGGGGCTATTTCTGTGAAATGTTAGCCAAAGAAATCGATAGTCATGTCTGCTCTTACTCCTGGCTTAGTGTGTGTAGACTTCTCCATTTTAAAATGATGTGCGTCATTGTAGAGATTATTTTTTATTTCTCTGGACTCTTTGTATTTTTTTTTAGTGATAAAAAATCAAGGCCAAGTTCTGAATCTGTTGGTAACGAAGATAATGTGTGCCGATAGGTTTTCATTATATATGCCCTGAAGCCGGTAAATTGTAAAGTCCTGGGCTTTAGCCTGCATTGTATATTTGCCTCTAATTATTCTAAGGAGTAAATTATGCACAACCTTTGTTGTGCAAGGTGAGAGAGAAATTCAGTTGAATGTGCAGCTCTGGTGGTGTTTTAGGCAAGCTTGCATGTACTGTTAGCTGTCTAACACGTTTCCAGTTGGTCTTGGTGTTTTGGTTATTGAATAATTAGCTTTCCTGCAGTGCTGGCAATCTGGGGTTAAACCACCATGCCAGACGCCTTCCTCTTCAGTGTTACTTTTATATTCTATAGACCTGTTAAACAATTGTGCTTGTTATTAGTGTCCTTACTATTGTTCAAAGGGCAACATATTCATTGCCCTTAAGTCTACTGAGCATTGTTTATTTATAATTACCACTCCAGTTCCTTATTAGTGTTAATATCCTATGCCATCGGCTTTACTCTGATGCTTACTTTTAACACTTCAGAAATATTAAAATGCCAAAAGTTGCCTCTAACAAGAATTGTCTACTTGTCCCAAACTCCCAATATAATACACACATCGTAAACAGAGTTCACAACCACAAACTTCTGAACTGTAAATAGCTGCTTTGGACAACTCCAGTGTTACATTTGCTTAAAACAATTTTTCCCCATTTATAACAGGTTTTCTGCATAAATGTTAAACCTTTGACCAAAATTAAATTTTGGGCGTTTTGTAAATTAAGGGTTCGAAAAATTAGCAGATCTTGAGTTGTTTACTTCTGTCACAAGGGAGTAAATGCTGTATGTATTCTCTGGTTTAGGTCTCGTCACAAGTCTGTCTTATAGCTAGTAATACAGTGCTTACAATTAGGAAGTCAACACTTGTTTTTATGGTTTATCTGTTCTCCCAGGGAGCATCAACCTTCTCTGTAGTTTTTTCTTGTGTTTTGTATATAGCTAAATACCCTTGTTCTTAAAGCTAATTGTAAAATCTAAGTGTAAAACTGTATTCTGTCTGTAAAGTCTGTTTTATTTGTTCATCCTTGGCACCTTTTTAATTAAAAAAACTTTATTTTTGCCCCTTGAGCAGTATGCTATTTAAGTTTTATCTTGTTTTTGAGTTGAACCCTATTAAAAAAGATGTTTAAACAAATTGTCACACCTATACAATATAGGCAAAAGCTGAAATGAGCTACATTAGTTTAAATTGTTAAAATAAGAACCTTAAAAGCTGTCTGGCTGCTTTATCTGATTTCAGGACAGATATTTTTTTTCTAATTGCATGGTGTATATTCCATCATCCTTTGTTTTGTGAAGAATTTTATTTTAATTTTGCAATGAAGACATCGCAAATCTTGCCTGTTAAAGTACAATTTGTAGTTCTAAAGCGGAGACCTGGATTTTCTTCTCTCAGAATTCAGTTAAGGAATGTTGCTGAACAACCACCTGTTTTTAATGGAGTGTTTCTGTGGTTGATGGGTAGCACCTTAACTTCAGTTACTAGTGTATGCAATATCATTAAAGTTCCTAAATCAGGAAATATAACTTGTAGCCTGTTTGAATTACACATTTGGAAAGTGCTTTCAATTTGCTGCCCAATGTCTTGTTGTCCAGAGCTAGTGTAGTTTTCAAATCAATTTAATTGCCTAGCTACACCATTGTGCAGGTGTAGTGTTCAGCTGAATCTGTTATTCTGTCCAAACTAACAAGTCTGTGCTTACCCTGAATGAATGATGCACACGTTTGAAATGTCCTGTATGAAAAAATTATTTACTTGTCTGCAGCAGGTTTATTGTAAGGGCATTTGATCTGATTTTCTGATGCACAAACCACTCAAATATTCTTGAAAGGGGTTGTCATCCGAATCTTGGCATTATATTGTGATAAAGCAGCTGTTCCCTATTCTGTTTTTAAGTAAATAGATTAAAACGTAGCAATTCAGACACCATGAAAATTGAATATACTGTACAGTTCCTCATAACATTTAATCAGTGTGATCAGTGCAAGAAGTCTCGATCTGTGAAATATGCCAGCCGAGCTGCCTGAAACACAATATATTCCTCTAAATCAAAGCTCCATCTGGACAGATAACTGCATTCCTGGATCTGATCTTTAGCTACCTGGCAGTGTGCTGTCTACTGAATAATGTCATTTCCTACCCTGAAACCGACAGTTTTCTAACTTGCCCAGGTACTGTTTCTGTTGTGTAATCAATGTAGCATATCGCTGTCATTTTATATCTGCAACCTCGATTTGCTTCTGCATGGGCAGGAGAAAAAAATGGCTTTTTGTTTTTACTGCCTACCAGCATATTGCTCACACGAAGGAAGACAATATCCCAGGCCTGTCTTCCCATGGGTCATGGTACTTAATTGTACAGTTTGTGCACAGAAACGAGAATTAAAAAAAAAAAAACCTGAGCTGAAGGAAATGGTGAATCGGAGCGGGGAATGACCCGTGTCCTCGCCAGGTGTTTCCAGAGAACTCCAAGACCAATGCCCGGGGGAGATCCTGGGCTAGTTTTCACCCGGCGCTGCGTTGTCTCGCTTGAAGAGCAGCGGTCAGATTCAGTTTTGTCTGCTCCCTGCCACCTAGTATTGTATTGCTCTTTTTTTAAAGACAAGAGTTTGTCCTGCAGTACCTCTTCACATTCCAGTAAATAGTGTTTAGCTTGAAAACCCTCAAGACTTATGGGGGGAAATGGTTTATCGCCGTGCGACAGGTTTAATGGCGATAATTTACGTTGTCTGAGATGACAGGAGCTAGCGGAAATACAATTGGATTTTTTTTTGTCGCTGTAGGGGCTGAAGATTAATAATGAAACATCACAGGGGTTGCCGTTCTTGGCTCGAGTCATTCCAGGTCCCCAGTTCATACTCGGTGAGAACATGACGAGGAGCCGCTGGAAGACGGACAAACTGGGACTCCCGTGAGGCCTAAATCGTCCTCTTATGTCACACAGCTCTGCCGAGTTCCGAATTAGTTCTTTCCGTCACCTCTTTCCTTACGGAGACTATAAAGGTACGCAAGTGCGGGCTACGGACTCCTTATAGAAGTGCCTCTTAGTCTCCTGTCTGTTCATGCATTTGTCCGTCTGCAGTTACGCACAGAAGGCGACGTGTCTGTGTTCCTCCGACACGCACCCGCTACGCAAAGGGGTTGATGCATCACACAGCCCCGCACACGCACCTGGGGACAGCATTTGGCATTTGTTTTTTACAGTAAAAATAAATTTCATTTGTGGGTACATATGCAGTAGAGGCGGGTGTGAAACCGAAATACATTGATTTTGAGCAACGACGTCACTCTTTGCAAATTCACGCCCATGTCTTCGTCAACAAACCACCACCACCACCACCACCATCATCATCATCGTTATTAATACCCTCCGGGGAAGTTAGAATTACCCCCCTTTTTCATCAGACTCGGGAAGACGGCCCGTGTTACACTGACAGCATCATCTTCCAGAGATGGGTGTCCCCCCCACCCTGCTTTCTGGGGAGCCCATTCCAAGCGGTTGTTCAGCGAGAGTGTGTGAGATTATTAATAATTTTAACAGCCGACTTTGTGCATCTTAATAAGGCCGCGCGCCTTCGGAAGCTCCAGCAAGTTAATTACAAACAGTTGCCTCGGGGCGGCATTCACGAGGCAATTAGGTTTATGTTATTAGGGTAATATAAATTCACGCTTTATCATCCCAAATGCACTTGCAGCACGACGAACAATTACAACTGCTAGCGAAAACCGCTTTTAATACCGGGACTGTGTGCGCATCCCGGTGAGAGAGCACTTTCCCTGCTCTTCGTTTCTTCCTTTGTTAAGCATTTCCTTCGGCAGAGAATAATTCGCTTAGAATTGAAATAAATCGATTTTTTTTTTATTTTTACATTAAGAGAACGCGTTTTGCGCACTATTCCTGGAGCGGTTCTGGGTGCATAGGGACGGATACATACATCCGCACCCAGGCAAAAAAACGTTTTGCTCCACAACAGCGACGTGAGCCACCTTAAGCAGCTCTCTGATGTCAACGTCAGTGCTGGCGAGATGCTGCTCTCCTGGCAGCGCTCACTGACCGGGGAGCCGCGCTTCACATCTCCCGAGCCCAGCCTGTCCGCCCTTCCTGTCCTCCTCCTGCCGAATCCCAGGGATTTCTCCCCGGCCAGGCGAGCCGGGCGCTGTGCGGGGATCAGCGAGGCACCTCGGTCCCTACTCCCGCACAGGAAAAGGTAAGACCGTTCTCACGCTGCACAGGTGCTAGGAAAAAAGAAAAAGAGCTTCATTTTCACGCTCGTACGTTTAATTCAACATCCATCGAGACGTTGAAAGAAAGAAAAGAAGAAAATTTTAGGTGTATCCCTGTTTTGTGGACCGCTTATTTAAGCCACCCTCATTTGCGGGACCTTGTGTTTCAGTTTCATTTATCTCACTGTCCGAGCATATTTCACCGACCCTTCGTTTGCTTGGGCTGTCTCGGATTAACTAAAGCCACCGGAGTCTTCATTATGTTACAAATGTGCGAGTACCGACTGCAACGGAAATGGGTGGATTACACTGCTTTTGCTTTAGTGCCGATTTGTGACAGTAAATTCCGAGATAGGGAATTGTGACAGAGATTTCGGGTCTGGGGTGCCACCGAGGAACATCAGTAATTAAGGCATTTTTATTTCGTCTATTTGATTCTGTTTAAAATACATCAAAAACAAGGTCGTGTCAGCTAGGGGTTCCGCGATCCCGTTCAAGTGTCACCTTACGGCAGGACCGTATCTGTTCCCTGTGAGCTGACCTTCATGAGCTCGCTTCAGTTGGGCAGTATTGAACGCGAACGCCACACCACCAGGTGCAAAGGTGTGGTAGGGCTGTGCCTGACAGTGGAGTCCGGACTCTGAAAGTCGGCTCTTCATACAAAGGGTAGGAAGGAAAATCGGCGTTTGTGATTAAGGGACATGATTTGACAGAAGTGTGACATTAGACAGACAAACTGAATTAAGAGTCGCAAGTGACGACCCGTGTAGCAGTCCGGGGAGCTGACTGCCGCGTGCTGAACAGCCCTCTCAGGAGGAATGTGGTCAGCTGTGAGCCAGCTGTTCCAAAGCACAGGGAGGTATGTAATTGCCCAGGTGTTGGACCAGAGTGGTGTGGT